TGAAGGTGTTGCCCCTCCCCCACTGGCGAGCCCTCAGCAGGCTCCTGATGTTGGTTCGGCTGGTGGTGTGGCTGAGGAGCCTGAACCCTGGCCTGAGGAGGAGGAGGACCCGTGGACGGAGGAGGGCATGCTCCAGTCTCGGGAGGCGGCTGGTGTCCCGTGGGATCCCCAACCCCCTCCTCCTCCTCCTCCTCCTCCCCCTCCCGCCCGAGTGGAGCTCAGTGACGAGCTTCGACGCCAGATCCAGGCCCGGCGGGATCAAGCTCGTTTCCGCCGAGCTGTTCGACGCTCGCTTCCTGCAGGAGGCGTCTTCTCTTCTGCTGATGCGTGTGCGCCTCCTCTCCCCATGGAGTGTGAGAGACAGGCGCTACGAGCGCACTCCCTCCTCTGCAGTGCTGCAGGGTGCGGACCAGGCGCGGTGGGGTAGGGGCCCCACCTTTTTTGTTGATGTATTGTGTCTCTCTTGCATAGTGCTTGATTGCCATTATATCGGTGTTGTAGGCTGACCATGAGCCTCAGAGTCCAGTCCAGTCCAGTCCAGTCCCTCCTCCTCCTCCTCCTGTTCCTGCTCCTCCTCCTCATCATCATCATCCTTCTCCTCCGCCTCCTTCTCCTCCTCCTCCTCCTCGGTCCAGTCCCCTTGCCGTCGCCAGTCCAGTCAAGCAAACCCAGCCCCGCCAAGTCCCTAGAGCGTCACTGCTGGAAAGTCTCCATGCACGTCCCTTGGAATGTGTCCTGGCGCGTCCACTCTCGGTTCGGTCCCCGTCTCGGTTTGCATTGTTCCGTCAAGTTCGTTCTGCCTCAATTCGTCGCTTCTCGGTTCGGTGTTCATTTCGGTTCGTATTGTGCCGTCTGGCTCGTCCTGCCTCAATCTGTCCCATCTCGATTCGCCGCGCTTCGGTCCGTCGTTCCTCGGTGCGTTTCGTCTCGCTTCAGGTTCGCCCCCATCACTGTTCGTCCCGTGTCGAGGGCCATCTTCACGCGCAGATTGCGATGGATCCGCGCTGTGCTGAATTTGGCTGGCTCGTACAGGCCTCGGAAAAAATAGCGAACACTCGTTCCACATTCATCTGTCAACGCCCCCCCCTCCCTCCAATGTTCAAATTGGCGGTGGGCCTGATGAGTTGCACCTCGACCGCAGTCTCCCCCGCGCGTGCCAACTTCGAGTTTGGGGGGCAGGGGGGGTGTTTACTAATTGTTCCCTCTACCGTGTTGTGTTGAACCGTTCAGTACTCTGTTGCGTTGTGGTCATTTGCGGGGGGGCCTGGGCCCTCGGAGGTGCGGATGCTTCGTCTGGAAGCGCTCTGAAGTCCGAGGAGGCACAGCAGACGTACGTGTTCGACTCTTCCAGTCTCGATTGATGCTGGCTCCTCCCACGGCGACAGCCACGCAATACAGGGCCACCCGCGGTCAGGCAGATGCGAAACAAGAGTGAAACACGGCACAGGGCGCCGAAGGTCCTCCGAGTCGAGGGCGTCCTAAGCAGTGCTAACAGACAAGGAGGAGGAGTGGGGGACGGAGGATTCGCCACGGCACCTTTCGGACACAAATTCCAGGTCTGCCAGTGCGCAAGCAGGTTCAGGTAAAGTGCTAGTGAGGCCAGCGATTTCGTGCAACAAAGCGTGAGCGACCGCTTCTTGCAGCGCTCTCTAACAGTCCGCAACATTGGTGTTGCAACCCCACACAGGCGCCCTTTCGCTGTCTGGGGTTGGAGGCTGGGGATGTCCTCGCTAGCAAACACAGGAACTGTTTGCACCGCTTGGGCCGACCAGCGCACATAAATTTCGACGCAGAGGCAGTCTAGAGCACCGAGGCAGCTCTCCAGCACATGCGCGGGCCAAGTTGACGGCCGCGCGCGCAATCCATGAGCGAGGCTGGCATGTAGCCGACACGCAGGAGGGCGGCGCTGCCAGCGCCGCTGCGGGACGGCCTCGACGAGGCGCGCTTGAGTCCAGCGGCGTCGTGGCGCCCGTCCGAGCTGGCCGACTTACCTGCGGGCTTCCTTTCCGGCAGCGAGGCAGCCAGGAGGAGGAGGAGGAGGAGGAGGAGGAGGAGGAGGAGGAGGAGGAGGAGGGGGAGGAGGGGGAGGAGGGGAGGAGGGGGGGAGGGGGTGCCAGCCAGGTGCAGATGGCCGGCAGCAGGAAAGCGAGTGGGAGGCCGCCGCCGCAGCGAGCCGCGAGCGCCAGAGATCGAGCGGCCGCCTCCTCCTCCTCCTCCTCCTCCTCCTCCTCCACCTCCTCCCCCTCCTCCTCCGCGACAAGACAAGACAAGACGAGTCGCAAGGTGGCTAAGATCGCCGAGATCGGTGGCCAGAGCACCAGCCGAGCGGACGCAGAGCTGGAGCAGCGCCAGCAATGATCAGTTGACGTGGGCCGAGCGCGATGGCGGCCGGGCTTCCCATAAGCACCCTGGCGGAGGGCTCGCAGAACCCTCAGGCACTACTTGGGCGAGCGACCCGTGCGAGGAGGGGCCGCACCATGCGGCTCAGGCTCCAGCAGTAGTGGAACTGCGCCCAGAGGCTGGAGCGGACAGCGGGCCTCTCGTGCCAAGGGGGCCCCACAAGACAGCGTCGCGGATGTAGAAGACCAAGCTAGCGAACCATCAGGGGAGCCACAACTGGGGGAGCTGTGGTCCTTACCACCCTGGGGGACCCATCGATTTCGACACCCCTCTCGAGAGATCGTCGATGCGATGGGTTCCCCCAGGGGGGTAAGGACCACAGCTCCCCCACTTGTGGCTGGTCGGACCATGCGGGCGCGACGTGCCGCGATGGCTGCTGGCGGCTTGTGCCATGGTGGCGGTGCGGCGCGGTGCCAGAAGTGGAGCAACTTCGTGCAGACACCACGGTGGTTGCTATCGCCAATGCGCTGTAGATAGAATTGGCGCGGGGCCATGATGCGCGAAATCGCAGCTTTTCGCATTGGTACATCATGTGTTCATCATCGCCTCTCTCTCTCTCTATATATCTCTTTCGCTGTCTCTCTTTGTGTGTCTCTTTCTCTCTCTCTCTCTCTCTCTCTCTCGCTACATGTTCATATTTGGCGTCTTGCCGGCCTCTTCAGGAGCGTCGGCATTGTTATGTACTGTGGGATTGTGTCCTTCCTTGACGTCCTCGAACTCTCCGCGGGCCGCGGGCCGCGCCGCCTCTGGGCGTGGGCGCGCTCCTCCCTCGCGGCTCCCTCCCTCCCCCCTCCTCCTCCTCCCCCTCCTGCTGCTCCGCCTCCTGCTCCTCCTCCTCCTCCTCCTCTCCTCCTCCTTCTCCTCCTCCTCCTCCTCTCCTCCTCCTCCCCCCTCCTCCTCTTCCTCCTCCTCCTCCTGCTCCTCCTCCTCCTTGGGGCATCGCGAGACCAGCGCGTCTCAGGCGCTCCAGCGCCATCGCCGTGGCCTCTCCGGGGGCCGCACCCCCGGGTCGAGTGTCGGCGCTCCGCCCCGCTCCCTGGCTCGTGGCCCCACGTCGTTGGTTTGTCGCTTCGGAGGAGGAGGAGGAGGAGGGGGAGAAGGGGGAGAAGGAGGAGGAGGAGGAGGAGGAGGGGGAGGAGGGGGAAGAGGGGGAGGAGGAGGTGGAGGAGGAGGAGGAGGAGGAGGAGGAGGAGGAGGAGGATTGCGGAGGCGCTGTGTCGGTACCAATGCAGCTGTTGATCGTTCCCGCGCTGCCAAAAACCCCGCGTTCTCGCGAAGTCAACGCATGAGGGGGGTCTCAACGCTGACATCCCCTGCGTGGTCGTCGGCTCTAGCTACTTGGTCCTGTTCGTCGCCCTCGGCTTCTGAGTGGGGCGGCTCGGTCAACTTCGTTGGTGACGCTTCGCGTCTTCACAGTTTCTGTATACGTTTCCTCTTCTCTTTTTTCCTTTTTCTTTCTTCGTACTATTCCCCCTCTTCTCCCCCTCTTCTCCCCCTCTCCCTACCCTTCCTTCTCCCTCTCCTCCCCCTCCCTTTCTTCTGTCCTCCCTCTCCTCCCCCTCCCCCTACCCTTCCTTCTCCCAGGCACCCGGTATGCCCCGAGATATAGCTGGCCCGTGGCCCTTATGGATCGGGGCCTGTTTTGCCCGAAGAGAGAGAGGAGCCCAAAGGGAGGAGGAGGAGGAGGAGGAGGAGGAGGAGGAGTGTTAACAAAGGCTATAGTCAGAGATCTGGAGCTTTTGGCGCTTCCCTGGAATGACGGAACCCATAATCTGCACTTCCCCAGGCTTCCCCGCCCAGACAGGATGGGGAGTCGAGAGTTCATGATGGCTAGCTGCAGACTCGAATCATTTTGGGGTGGGGGTTCACTAGCCATTATGGCTTGCGCTGGAGTCAATAACCTGGTTTCGAGGGCCCCGTCCATCCCTCGAATGGCTCTCAACATCTTTCTATTCGCAGAGTCCGGTGTCGAGTCGGACTTTGCTCCCCAAATGGCATTTGCATTGCATTGCTCGACCCGTCCTCTGCAAAGGGCATGGAGCCCATGCGAGGCCTGAAAGCCTTGAAGGGCGGAAGGGAGGGTGGCAGGGGGAGAAGCCCAGCCCCCCGACGACCCGCGTGGCTCGTCCTCGTATCGGGTGGTCGCCTCTTCGATTTGCACCAGGGGTCAGCGGCCCAGGCCGATACCGTTGCCATTACAAGGCGGATCTCTGCAGTGCCCGAACGCGAGAAGAGTAGCCCAAAGGATTAGTACCAGAGGGTCAGTAGCCCAGGCCGCTATCGCTGCCATCCCAGGGCCGATCTCTGGAGAGCCCGAGCGTAAGAACAGGAGCCCAGGGGATCAGTACCAGGGGATCAGCCGCCCCGGCCTCTGTCGTTGCCATCCCAGGACAGATATCTGGAGAGCCCGAGCGTGGGAACATGTACAGTCAGCGTGCATCGGCAGGTCGACCGCCTGAAAGCAAATGTTCGCGCTTGTGTCCTCTCGATCTCCCCTCGTCATCGTCATCCTCTTCCCTCCTCGTCCTTCCATTCCTCCTCTTCAGGAGCCTTGTGTCTTCGCGGACGTCCTCTCACATGCGCTCCGAGCGCATGTGCACAGCAGCCACATAGCTTGGCTCAAGCCATCTCGGCCCAAGCGTCTTTAGCAGGCGGCCACCTTCCAATTGGAAGGCTTGCAGCGGCAATGCGCCCACGGTCGGCTGCGCTGTGGGTAGCTGTTGGAGCCGCCACTGCGGTCCACGCGGCCAACGCGCGGCACTCGGCGACTGGCACGAGGCTGTTGGCAAGGCTTGGAGAGCAACTGAGCTCGGCGTCTGGCAACAGCACAGGCGAGTGGCTTCAGGGATGGCTCGCATCTTTGACCATCAGCGTGCCCCCTGTGAGGTCCTCGGGGCTCGGCTGGGACATCAGCATAACAGGAATGTACTGCGACAGCATCGAGGTCGGCGGGGTTGAGACCGACACCTCTGGCGCGGGAGAGGTGGCGATTCAGGGCAAGGGCTTGAAGGCGACTTGCCATTTCGACTGCATCATGCATTTCTTCGGCAGCGGATACACAGGACCCGTATCCGCCTACGTCTCCGACGCGACGTTGGGGAGCCCGATCAGGATCGACTCGAGCTCGGGATATCTTACGCTCCCCGAAAAGGTCGAGGCGTATGACTGTCCCAAGAACACGGAGTTCAAGCATATCACTATTGTCACGGACTCTCCGGTCGTGTCTGCGATGACGTATTTGCTGACCCCCCTTCTACGATCGCAGACCGAGAGTGCGGCTTGTGCCGCTATCGATGACGCAGTGAATACAAAGGGCACATCGGCTCTGCAGAATTTCAGTAGGGAGATCCGCACCCTCACGGCCGCGAAGCCAACTTCCGTTGTTCCGTCCTTGCCTGAGCCGCACCAAGACTTCATAGACTTCGCAGCCAGCCCGGTAATGGAGCTGGTGAACCAGATCACCGTTCACATTCTTGACAATGCTTCTTCCCAGCTAAGCTTGAATGCAATCATGAGCAAGCTCTTCGGGCCCGAGGGGCACTTATCCTTGGGCACACTCAACATACTGCCCGTCCACAGGAGCATCCAGATACCGGAGCTCGGCTCCCTGAACCTCGCAGTCAAGGCAGTAGAGGTGAGCGGGTTGAACAGTTGGTCCAACGTTCTGGTGGAGGCGTTGGCTGCACAGAGTCTGTCTTACAACCTGAGCCTGGAGAGATTGGTCGTGAACGTGTCCTTCGAATTGTCCGTCGTCCCCGACCCGCATGGACTCGTCAACGGCACGACACTGGACGAGGAATTCGAGCTGACGCTCTCGCTCGGGGACCTGAGGCTGGCAGGCGGCGCCTTCTTGGCAATCAACAAGTCGCAGCTGGGGCTGCTCTCCATAGATCAGCTCGCCCAGGCGGGCTGCTCCGCTCCTGCGGTGTACTCGGCGATGGTTCGGGAGGCTGGGCTGACGGCGATGCCTTTGACGCTGTCAGTGCAGCCAGCGTCGAGCGCGGGCAGCTTGGAAATGGACATTGACCACATGATCAACGTAGTGCTCACGATGCTCCTGGGGCAGTACAGCGAGACGATCGAGGCGGTGGTGGAGCACGCCACGGAAGTCAACATGACAGACGCGGTGAATCAGTGGGTGCGCGACCAGACGGACCTGGCCACGCTCTCCACCTGCCGCGTGCCCGTCGACATTCACACGTCGCCCGGCTCTGGAGAGGCCGCGGGCACGGCATCCTCGGCCCTGCCGACCGCAGGTGCGCTTCAGGGATGGCTCGCGTCCCTGAGCATCAGCGTGCCCTCGGTCAGCTACGCGGGGCCCGACTGGGAGATCAGCATAACGGGGATATATTGCGACGGCATCCGGGTCGGCGGAGTCGAGACCAACACCTCCGGCGCGGGCGAGGTGACGATCCAGGGCAAGGGCTTGAAGGCGACCTGCCATTTCGATTGTTTCGTCGATCTTTACGGCAGCGGTTTCAGTGGACCTGTATCCGTCTACGTCGCCGACGCGACGTTGGGAAGCCCAGTCAGGATCGACTCGAGCTCGGGATATCCTCCGCTCCCCGACAAGGTCGAGGCGTACGACTGCCCCAAGAACACGGAGTTTGTGGACATCGTTGTTGTCACGGAGTCTCCGGTCGCATCTGCGGTAATGTCCGAGTTAATTCCTCTCGTGAAATCCTCTGTCGAGAGTGCGGCATGTGCCTATGTCGATGATGAAGTGAGAACAAAGGGCACAGCGGCCCTGCAGAAGTTCAGTAGGGAGATCCGCACGTTCATGACCGAGAACCCAACTTCCATTGTGCCGTCCTTGCCTGAGCCACACCAAGATTTCATAGATTTCGCAGCTAACCCGGCGATGGAGTTGGTGAACCAGATCACCGTTCACATTCTTGACAATGCTTCTTCCCAATTTAGCTTGAATGCAATCATGAGCAAGCTCTTCGGGCCCGAGGGACACTTATCCTTGGGCGCACTCAACATATTGCCCGTCCACAGGAGCATCCAGATACCGGAGCTCGGCTCCCTGAACTTCGCAGTCAAGGCAGTAGAGGTGAGCGGGTTGAACAGTTGGTCCAACGTCTTGGTAGAGGCGTTGACTGCACAGACTGTGTCTTACAACCTGAGCCTGGAGAGATTGGTCGTGAACGTGTCCCTCGAATTGTCCGTCGTTCCCGACCCGCACGGACTCGTCAACGGCACGACACTGGACGAGGAATTCGAGCTGACGTTCTTGCTCGGGGACCTGAGGCTGGCAGGCGGCGCCTTCTTGGCAATCAACAAGTCGCAGCTGGGGCTGCTCTCCATAGATCAGCTCGCCCAGGCTGGCTGCTCCGCTCCTGCGGTGTTCTCGGCGATGCTTCGGGAGGCTGGGCTGACGGCGATGCCCTTGACGCTGTCAGTGCAGCCAGGGTCGAGCGCGGGCAGCTTGGACGACATTGACCACATGATCAACGTAGTGCTCACGGTGCTCCTGGGGCAGTACAGCGAGACGATCGAGGCGGTGGTGGAGCACGCCGTGACAGACGCGGTGAACGAATGGGTGCACAACCAGATGGCCTTGGCCACGCTCTCCGCCTGCCCCGCGCCCGTCAACACTTACACGTCGCCCATTTTTGGAGAGGTCGCGGGCATGGCATCTTTGGTCCTGCTGGCTGCAGGTGCACTCGGACTCGTGGCTGGCACTGTGAAGTATCTCGCGAGGGGCACGTGCTTTAGGAGCCTCCGCGCTGGGGGGGCGAAGGTCGAGATCCACTCGGTTTGCCGCGGGCCGGGCGAGCGGAGCGCAGGGGCCAACGCGGCGCTGGCAGAGATGCCGGCGAGCAGGCTGCCCGGAGCCTGGTGCGCAGAAGACAAGCCACCTTGGGATTGCCTTGGGCTGCACCCCAGCGTGTCCACATTCACGATGTTTTCCTTGCCGATCCTTGTGGTCGCGGACATCAGCGGAGGAAGAGGTACTCATACCGTTGGTCGTCCTGGAGAGCTCTCATCGCTACGGACGGATTTGCCTCGTTGCGGTGGTCAAAACGCACCCCCGGAGACGCCGAGGCAGGTCACGGTATCGTTGCCTTTCTGCCCCACCCCCGCCAGGACATTGCGCTGTTTCTGCAGGCGAATTTCGGGGGTCCTGGCGTGAGCGTGCGCATGGCCTTCGAAGCCAACGGGGGACAGGTGGTGCAGCTTCCTAGCGTCAGCTTCACCCTGATAGGCAGCATTGTGGACATGTGGAACGGCAAGGCGTATCCTTTGGCGCTGCTTGTTGGTTTCTTCAGCGGCATATGGCCCTACGTGAAGTTGCTCGCGATGCTTTGCTGCTGGTTGATGCCGGTGCGCAAGGAGAGCCGGCAGGCAGTGCTGAAGTGGCTCGACGCCTTGGGGAAGTGGTCGTTGGTGGATGTGTTTGTCATGGTGTTGTTCATGGTAGCCTTCGAATTCGATTTGTCTGTGGCGGAGCAGGCCCCGCAGGCCATCAAGGACGCCTTCGACGAGTTTGGCGGCTCGGCCCGCCTGCTTGTGTACGTGCATCCAGAATGGGGCTTCTACGTCTTCGTGTTCGCCACGCTGGGCTCCCTGGTGCTGGGCCACATCATGACCATGGTGCAACGGCGCGCCTACGAGGTTGCTGAGTTCGGCATCGGGAGAGAGGGGCCCAGGGGGCGGACCCGCCTCTGCAACGTCCAGCGGCCCGAGGGCCAGCACGCTGGGCGCGCCTTCGTGTACGGCCCAATCTGCGCCCTGGCGTTCTCGCTGCTGCTCGTCCTGGTCGGCTTGGACGTGAAGGCTTTCCAGTTCAAGTTCCTGGGGCTCTCCGGCCTGGCGCTCGGCGAAGAGGGCTCCGTGCGCCCGTTTTCGGTGGTGTCGCTGGCGTCCGAGGTACCGCGCGCGAACCTCCACCCGCGCACGCCCGACCTCCTGTGGATCCAGTTCGTGTTCTGCCTCTTCTCGAGGGGGACGAACGACACAGACACAAGCTGTAGGAGGTCCGCGCGGCTTTCTTGGGTCGGCGCTGGGCCCCCCTGGCGGCGCCTCCTGCGTCGCGCCCGGCGCGCTCCGCGCGCCAAGGAGAGGAGTCCAGCGCCGATCCGAGAAGTCTGCGCGGACCTCTGAGAGCTTACTCCAGATCGTTCAAATAACCCCCCCCCCATGCCACTCCGCCGGACGGCCCGTTCCGGCACCCCCCCCATGGGCGCAGAACCCACCCCCAGCGCCATCCACCCCCCCCCAACGCCCCGCGAAGGACGGGCCCCTCCCAGCCACCCCAGGCGGTCCACCCCCAAACGGCTGATCAGCAAAAGTAGCTTGTGCTACGATGCTGTGGATTACTCGATTGTGTCGTCGATGGGGTAATCGAGTTAGGGGCCCAGGTGGCACGACGGAATGCCAGCTCTGACCGTGGGTGGGCTTCCTTGTGAATATGGAGCCTCCGACTGCTCACAGCAGTCAGTCTGTCTTGTTTCACCGTCCTTGTGACCACGAGCCATTCCATCATATTCCCCCTACGCTTCTGGAAGCACTTGGAGTACGGTGGGGGCGTTCGTTAAGGAATGTGCCCAGGAGGCTTCAGATCCTGGTGGGTTCCTTTTCTAGTGAAGGCGGCGATGCTGTCCATGACACTGCCTCAATTGGCGTTCCCCTGGCTGTCAGACCCTGGATTCCTTATCGGAGGATTCCTTACCCAAGACCCCCGCCGTATGTTTACGCTGTCGTTCTGTTCCTCGATCTTCTCGATGCTGATGGTGATCGCCCACCACGCCCTGCTGATGGTGCTGTGGGCCGTTCCTTTTGCGAGCCGGTGGCAGAGGCGCGGGCTGGTCGCAGCCCAGGTGGCTGGGCGCTGCCCGAGGCAGCCCTGGCCCAGGGTGCCCCCCAGCATCTTTGCGCCACTTTGGTGTCTCCAGAGAGGGCCTCGCATTCGAGGGCCGAAGGAGTGGGCATCTCTTCCTCGTCGGAAGGCGGCGGACGTAAAACGAGGCCGCCTCCGTTGGCGGAAGCTGGCGGAAGTAAAAAATACGCCCTCAAGAGATGGCAGCATTTTTAGATCCAGGGTTTCCGGGACCCGCCTTTTTGAGGCCCTCCTCCTGCTCCCCCTCCCCCTCCTCCTCCTCCTCCTCCGCCTCCTCCTCCCCTCTCTTCTCCCTCCTCCTCCTCCCTCCTCTTCCTCCTCCTCCTCCTCCTCTCCTCCTCCTGCTGCTCCTGCTCCTCCTCCTCCTCCTCCTCCTCCTCCTCCTCCTCCTCCTCCTCCTCTTCCTCTCCTCCTTCCCTCCTCCTCTCTCCCTCCTCCTCCTCCTCCTCCTCCTCCTCCTCCTCCTCCTCCTCCTCCTCTCTCCTCCTCCTCCTCTCCCTCTCCTCCCTCCTCCCTCCTCCTCCTCCTCCTCCTCCTCCTCCTCCTCCCTCCTCCTCCTCCTCCTCCTCCTCCTCCTCCTCCTCCTCCTCCTCCTCCTCCTCCTCCTCCTTCCTGATCCCCCTCCTCCTTCCTCCTCCTCCTCCTTCCCCAGGACCGTCCGGAAGCGGCTCGGGGTGCCAAGCGAGTCTTCCGAAAGTTGTCGAGAGTCCCTGAAGCTGGACACTTGGAAAAAAGTCGGGGGAGGATAGACCTCCTACCCTGACACGTCGATTGAGGAATTGGCCGTTTTCAGTTCGCGAGGGGGCGTCGCGGCCGTCATTTTCGCGGGACCAGGTCCGTCGGTTTCGGTCCCGGGCCGTTTTCATTAAGGGGAGGTTCACTAAAGGGAGGTCTTTCCACCGCCGAAAAACAACGACGCCAGGGCCCCCTCTGCCGCCGAGGCGCTCCCGCTCGCACCCCCCCTGGGTGGGTGGGGGGGAGGAGGAGGAGGAGGAGGAGGAGGAGGAGGAGGAGGAGGAGGAGGAGGAGGAGGAGGAGGAGGAGGAGGAGGAGGAGGAGGAGGAAGAGGAGGAGGAGGAGGAGGAGGAGGAGGAGAGATAGAGAGAGAGGAGGAGGAGGGAGGAGGAGGAGGAGGAGGAGGAGGAGGAGGAGGAGGAGGAGGAGGAAGCATTTGGAAAGGTGTCCTCGGCCCTGGAGGCCCCCCAGCTTTGCGCGCCACTCTGGGGGCTCTCTGGGGCCCTCTGCCGTGCAGCGTCTCGCTGGCCTGGGATGCATCGGCGCTTCGGCCACGCCCTGCAGCGGGGCTCGAGCCAAACGGTGTGTTGGCGACTTCGCCGACCGTTCTCGGCTTGATTCCGACTCGCAGCAGAGGCAGAACGAAGACAGAACGAAGGACAACGGAACGGAAAACTAAGCACGAAGACGAAGAACAGAAAACAGAACGAAGAACGAACAAACAAACAAAAAACGAAAGAAGGACACATAACGAAAACGAGAAACACGAATTGTGTAGCCCGGAGGCCACCTGCGCCCCTGCGGAGAGAAAAAAGAAGCTGGGGCCGCCCGGGGCCCCCTTGGCAACACAGGAAGGTCTTGGCATCGGTCGGACGTGTGCATTTTTCATCGGCGAGGACCTTCGAGGATCATCCTCGACCATCGGGGCAAAAAAGAACGCACGAGACCGAAAAATGCACGAGGAATGGACGTCCGAGCGACGGCGAGAGGTGATGAGCGCGTGGAACGCGTTGGACGTCCTTGTGGTGATCCAGAAAGAAAGGGAGCAGCATGAACATAAGCTTTTGGAGGTCCGCTCGGATTTCTTGGACCGACGCCGACTCGCCCCAGCGGCGCCTCAGGCGCCAGAGTGCCCCTGGCGCTCCAGGGAGGGGGGGTCCAGCGCCGATCCAAGAAATCCACGCGGATCTCCAAAAACCTATGGTTGTGTCGTTGTTTCCTTCTCGAGGTAAGCATTCTGGCAGCGGTCCTCGAGATCCGCCAGTTCGCGCTCTTCATCCTCGGCGACAAGTGCGACGCGCTGGACGCGCTGCTGGAGAGTATCCCCCCCATTGCCTCGCGCCTGCCTGGCAGCGTCACCTGCTTCGATGTGAGGTCCGAGCTCCGGGAGGGCTTTTTCGTACTGCTCGCGGCCGCCGTTGTCTCCTCGATAGTGAGCCAAGTCGTGCTGCGCATGTGCTCCGCGGCCCTGGACGTGGACAAAGTGCACGGCACCCCCGCGGACGCGACAGCAGCCGCGGGCCTCGACGAGGAGTCTCGTGCTGCAGGCCCTGCGGATGGTGGCCCTCAAGTTCAAGTAACCGTGTGAACGAGCGTGGCCCTCGATGGGCGGCTGCGTTGGTGCTGCTGGCCCGCGGGGAGGGCCCCGCGGTTCTCGATAGTGGAGTGGCTGCGCTGAGGAGCAAGGCGGAGGAAGAAGGTGGAAAGGGGCGCCTTGCACTCCTCGATGGTAATGAGAGGGGCTGCGCCGAGGGGCTAGGCGGAGGAACAAGACGGAAAGGGGCGCCTCGCATGGCCTGGTGCCGCCGACGCTGGAGAGACGACCTCCCGTTTCACCGGCGCTTGCCTCAGCGAAGAGGGAATGGCCAGGGGGGGAGGAGGAGGAGTAGGAGGAGGAGGAGGAGGGCCAGGGACAGGCTCATGGACTTCTGAGCTTCCCTGCGCCTGCCTCGTTTTCGAATTGGCCGGGCGATGCCTCGGCCCGCCTGCCGGCGCCAGTTGCCACGGCTCGGGGCGGCAACGCGGCCCGCCCCCAGGTCCCGACGTCGCGTCTTTGCCCACAGTGCGGGCCCCTGGGGTTATGATGTTCCAACCAACTTTAGTTTTCATCACCAGAGAGAATTTCGAACCCCGAAAAAGAACCTCGACGGTTTTCACGTGTCGGGCCCTGGGAGACACTCTTTCGACACTGTTTCGACACTTTTTGGACACTTTTCCGGGTGCTCGAAGTCATTTCTGGGATGTGGTCCTCAAGTACGACGGGAGGAACATAACCCTGAGGGGCTCATGGCGCCACCATTGCAGCGCGGATCTCGCTCGGAAAACGATGGGATGGACCCCCGGACTGTCCTGGAGAGTGTCGCTCCGGATTGCGAGGTGAATTTCGCGCGGCTTTTTTAGGGCCGGGAAGGAAGCCTCGAAAAAATCCACGCGCAAACTATTCCGTTTTTCACTCGCCGTTTCGGGGTTTTGCATTGACATAAATCCACGCAAATATCCGTTGCAGCACGTCTGCAAGGTCCGTGCAGTGAGGGGTCCAGAGACATTCCCCCAGGGCCCCGGGATTGTGTTTGCATCCCGAGCCGTTTCGTGAGGGCCCTTTGAATCCGAAAACGGCCAGAAACCTCCCATTGGGTTTTTCGCCACGACGCGAGAGAGTCGAGGTCGGGGGTCCAGAATTGATTCCTGAGTACATCCAGAGGTGCATTCTGACGAGAATTACGAAGCGGAGCCGGCCCTGGCCACGAGGGCGCCCCAGGAGGCCCAAAACGGTTGGAAAAAACTCCCAAACCTTCCTTGTCGTTTTTTGTGTCACGACGCGGAGACCTGAGGGCATATCATAGCAGCGCCCGCCTCCACGCTTCACTCTTACAGCAGCGCGGCGGCGCCTGGCACTCTCTCGACGCCCGCGGGGCGCACCGGCATCCCGCTTACAGTGTCGGCTGCCCGCGTTGGGCCGCGCCTCGACCTCCGCTTTCGCTTCCGCGGGGGGGGCAGCAGGCAATCCGAGCCCTTGCCGACGAAAAAAAGAGAGGACCGGGCCGGGATTTTGGGAGGGTGGGAGGGGGAGGAGGAGGAGGAGGAGGAGGAGGAGGAGGAGGAGGAGGAGGAGGAGGAGGACGAGGAGGAACGAGACGGAGGGCTGGCACCGATGAGGAGCTAATTAATCTGACACCCCCGATGTCAGCATCGTCACATCGTCCCCAGTGCTCGGCAGTGCCCCCCGTTTCCTTTGGCATTGGCTGCGTTTTCGGACTCTGCCGCCCGAGCTCCGAGCCGAACCGAGCCGAGGAGGAGGTGGAAGGCGGAGGGGTGTGAGCCATCACGAGGGCCCGTCCAGAGACTGTTTGATACGACCGCCTGGCCTCCAGCCCTTCCCTGCGACGCGGATCGCCCCACTCGTGGCCCCTGCCACATCCGGCGCAGGGGAGGGACCGGGTTGGGATGGGTAGCTGGGTGGGGACGGGATTCATTTCGCACACGCATCCACAGCCTTGCTTCACGGCAGTGTCACTCCATCTCTCATCCGTTAAGTCCGTCAAACGCCTTTTCTTAGAAATCACTGATTGCACTTTGCATTTGGAGGCCCTCTGGGGTCCGCCTGGGCCCGCCTGAGCCGTTTTGGCGACCCCTTGGGCCCAGCGTCTTGGAACGTTATCTGAAGGCTGCCGTCTGTGTTGTCGGCCATGCACTTGCCAACCGTGTTGCTTGCCACTCTCCCATCTCGGGCGGTGGATTCACTGGCCGCGCTTCCATTGCAAACCACCCAATCTTGTCGACCATTCAGCATTCGCGCATGATTCCCCAGCCACTTGCACCATAGCAAACAAGCCTTATGGACCAATGCGGCGCAGCAAAATAATGCAGCATATCCCGTTTGCCCAGATCTCTCAATGGATTGGTGTGGGAATCCGTGCAGCCCCATCACAGCACCACTGGCCAACTTATCGTGTTTGTCGTGTCCACGCGTCGTCAGACGTGCGTACCGTGTAACTGTGCGCTCCGAGCACGCTCGTTTGGTACAGCGGGTGGCGAATCAGTGTGTGCAGATGTTCCGTTTCCAGTTTCAGTTTTTACGAGCATTACGTTTCGTTGTTTGCAGCAATGTTAGTTCGGATTTTCCCTTCTGTGCCCCAGCATCAGACCAGATTACGAGAGGCCACGCCAGAAAATTAAGCATGGGTGAAACATTGCGAGACTCAGTTTGCAGCTAAGCAACGTCTAAGGAAGAGGAGGGGGAGGAGGAGAAAGAGAGGGAGGAGAGGAGAGGAGAGCCTGCCCGCGCACTGAACTGTTCAAGTTCGTTTGACGGGCAAGCGGGTTCAAGATGGGTAGCGTCATTGTAAGTCTGGAGGAGTTTGTCCGCCACGGACCGACGGAGATACGCTAGTGTAATAGGCCCATGCCGTACCACGTCGCTCCGGGCAACGCAAGGCAACACTCGCGAGCGAGAGCGAGCACAAGAGAGACCGTTTGTTTGCCCTATGTTCCATTGGTTTCTGTTCCAAGGCATCGCGATGATCCTAGGCTTGTCGTACGTTGTCTTATTGTCGTGCTCAGTTGTTCGCAGAAGATATGCGCCACGATTATTGCTTCCCGGCCTGGGGGCTCCATTGCCCTTGAGGAGGTGCAAGATTGCAACGACACAAAACAAATAGGGTGGAGCCCTAACACAATAAGGTCCATTGATCCCCCAGAGGAACTGGCACATGTGTGTCCTGTTGAAGCCGCTCCACACTTCTATCGTGTATCAACCCGCCGGTTTCGGTAAAGATTTGTTGTCATGTTCCAACTATGTGGGTGCGTCCCATGGTCAGTTTGCCGTTCTGATTGGTACCATCACCGGATGTCTGTGCGTGTCGCCTCTTTTGGCGTTTCGTGCATTATCTCATCCAGGAATGATGTCCATGAGTCAGGGGGGGAAGAAGTGATACGCATAGTCAAGTTGCGAGGATGGCTTGCGAGGCTCCATCTTGAGCCGTCTTGGAGCGGAGTTGGAGCCGTTTGGGACATCTTGAACCAATGTGGGTTATGCGAGTCATCTTGGAAGTCTCTTGGTACTCTCAGGCCGTTTGGGTGCTTTTGGAGCCTTCTCGGTGCTTCTTGAGGCGTCCTTGGAGCTCTTTTCGGGGCCTCTCGGAGAGGTCTTAGATTTTGCCCTCGCAGGGGCCGAAGAAAATCCTCTTGCACGGGGAGCACGGGATTAGATTTCAGTTTCAAGTTTCAGTACCACTTTCGTCTGTTTGCAAGATTCGGACAGGACGGAAAGATGAGAGGACGGAAAACGGAAGACGAGACGGAGGGAGAGGACGGAAAGAGGGGAGAGACGGAAGAGGACGGAAAGAAGAGAAAACGGGAGGAAAGAACAGAAAGCGGAGAGGATGGCAGGAGGAGAGGACGGAAAAGGTCAAAAGAAGGAGAGGACGGACAGAAAAGAAGTCCAAAAGAGGAGACGACGGAAGGATGAGAGAACGGAAGGAGGAGAAAGAATAAAACATGTAAGCAAGAGAGCATAAAAGAGAGAGAGAGAGAGAGAAAGAGAAAACGGTTCCTCTTTCCGTTATCTCTTCTTTCCGTGCTCTCCTTTTTCCCGTCCTTTTTGTTCGTCCGTTCTCGCCTTCTTTTGTTCTTTCCTTCTTTTGTTCTCTTTTTTGTCCGTCCTCTCCTTTTTCCGTCTTTTTTTGTTTCCGTCTTTTCCCTTTGTTATTTTCTTTTGTCCTCTCTCCCGTCCGTATTATTTCTTTTTGTCTTCTCCTCCCAACAAATGTGTTTCAAAGTTGTGTTGGTATTTGAATGTCGTTCTTTCTCTTCGAGATATTACAAATCTTTAGATACGTCGAGACATGAATTCTTTGGATGCATCTGCATGTTTCCGAATATCTCTTGAGGCGCGCTAAAACAATTCAATCGTGTTCCAAGAGTACGCAGATAGCAATTGGTGAAATTAGTGATGATACGCCCTGCCAATGGGTTTACCATAACGCGTTTCCCGTTATGTTCCTTTCCCCTCCTCCTTGCTGTTTTAGAAATTTGTTGTTTTTCCTTGTGCCCTCCCCGTACCTATTCCCACCTACTTTTCTTCTGGGTGTTTGTTTCCGCATCTTTGGTGTTTTGTTTTACATTTTTCCCTTCGCGGAAAACACATGGAATTCACATTAAAAATTTGGTTTATAAATAACGTCGATACAGACATCTCTTCTTAATGCCGAAATCAACGGAGGGCCCTCCTCTCTGCAAGGAACAAAAGTTGCGGGACAACGTTTTTTTCCTGTTAAAAAATCTTTGATTAAGATGTATGTGTGCTGATATTCAGATGCGAATACATAATAAAATCGAGTGAAAGCCGTATGTTTCTAAATTTCTGTTTCCCCCCCCTTCCCTTCTCATCCCCGCATCGGACCCAAACCGCTACGTCCGAAAACCAAGCTCAAATGAAACGCGGCGGAATCAACAACATCCCAGCGGCAGAGAGGAGGAGGACGAAAAGGAAGACGAGGACGAAAAAGACGAGGACGGGGAGCACACGATTTTAAAATCTGTGATCCATCTGCATCTCGGGAACGGAACGGCCCGCGCGTAACACATCGCGCGCTGCCGCCTATTGCAGGCCAATCCAAAACAGGGCCCACCACCGATGTAGCAAATTTGAAGTGCCCCCCGCTGGATTCAATCGCTCAGCCCTCTATAGCATTCCCAGGCTAGTTCTGAATCGAGACGGACGCTTTCGTTGTCTCATGACCCCAAAATTTCCGTTCCTAAGGATTGCAACGAATTAGCAGTTTTCTCAAATTTCACCATGCGTCGTATCCTGGCCCCAGACCCTCCAAACCATATCATGGAACTTGGAGACTGGAGGACGGTGCGCCACCGATCTGCAAATGATGTGCGCAATCCGAAGACGGTTGTGCATTGGTGTGGTGTGTGATTGGGGGGGGGGGCCACATGAATATCCGAAAATAACTTCAAATCACAACGGCCGGCTAAATGCGAGGCATATTTGGCTGCAATCAGCGCGGCGAAAACAAATTATCAAGGCAAACGCTCTCATCCCAGATTGCAACGTCGAACGACTCTTGCGCAAGACGCATGTGCCCGTACCCCCAGAAGTTCAGCGACGATTGGTTGCGACGTTCAGAACTATGTTTGCCATCCCTGGGCATGCAGACTGGGACACGGCACTCCATGTCACATACAGCGCTTGGGTGGCGCAAGCAGTGCGACGATGTAGGATGGGCAACCCGCCCAGACAAAGCTACGTTAGCGGCCGGCGGACTGCCACCAAACCCACCAACATAACGCCAAAACTTGGGAAGTTGGGAATACAGGCGGCAATTTCACGCATCATCCCATTTGCAACGGCGTACTGCAGTTTATTACAAAAATTGGGGGGTGGAGCAACGGCCCGGCGAAACGCTGCCACAATTGGAAATCAAGGCTACGATCCTGCATGGGCGCGTATGCGGCGACATGGCTCACGGTGTGCCCTACCACAGATCTCTTGACAAAAACCATGCGCCAACACGGCGCCTCGGCATGAAAATGCAAAACAACCCTACTTTGTGGGCGCATCGCGCGCCGCCCGGGCAGAACGCGCATGCGAAACGCATGCCTGAGGGAGCCGACGCGCGAAACGCACGCCAGGAAGACGGAAGAAAAAAGCCGAGCGCCAAATGCGCCATGGACGAAGCCCGCCCGACGTGCTCAGACGAATATGCGATTATGAGATGACAATATGTTTTCCATAACGCGCCCAAGCAAATGAATATGTACGATGATCTTTTTCATTTCCATTTTCAAATGGTATAACTCTTCTTGTTTTTGTTTTAAGCGTTATGTGCACGCAATTTGCCTACTGCAATTTTCGGTGCCCCCTTTTTCAAGAGGACTGTCATTGCCTAGCCTCCCCGGGCTTGCAAACGAGAATTTCGAGAGGGTATTTTGAATACCGTATTGTTGAAGAGTTTTTGCCTGGGTGACCGCCGTTTCTGAAAAACAACACAGCAATTTCAGAAAAAAATGCCGTTTC